AATAGTCAAAGATGCACGACGTATTTCGTATTCTGTCACTAGATCACAACCATGACCTGCTGGCTCTGCTGACAAACAAGAATTCAGTTGCAACCGAATCCTCATACTTTGTCTATTAGCTACTGCCATCATAATAGACTGATAAGTACACATACCGCGCCTTTTGCAGTAGATGAGGTTGGAGAACACCACCTTTGAAGACAGGCACTGCAGAAGCTTCCTTCATTATTTGCTTGATCTCTGAACTCAGCAAGGCATGAAGGTTTCTTGACTCAGGCCCTAATGAGGCCATGACACAATTAACTTGAACTACAGTGCACTGCACGGTGAATTGGTTCAACCTGGTTCCTCGGCTCAAAAATTTCATATTAAAATTTGATCTGCATTAGGTTTGATGAATTTGATGACTCAGAGTTGACCCGAGTTTCATTTAGACTCAAATGAGTCATTAACCCACGAGTTCAATTACCAAGCTTCTTGAGTAAGGTAAGGAGAGACTGAATAATATGGAAAGACCACAATGATAGAGTGCATTCAAGGGTATATATATTTTAGAGATATAAGGCAAAAGGAGCAACTTGGACTACAGTGGACGGTGAATTAGTTCAACTGCCTCGGCTCAAAAATTTCATATTGATCCGAATTAGGTTTGATAAATCCGGAGTTGACCCGAATTTCATGTAGACTCAAATGAGTCATAACCCCACGAGTTCAATCACCAAGCTTGAGTAAAGTAAGGAGAGACTGAATAATATGCAAAGACCGAAATGATAGAGTGCCTTCAAGGGTAGATATTTTCATCAGATATAGTCTCGAGCTTAGAGTCCATGTCAAGAGAAATCCTTGAGTGATCAAGTCAAGTGTGCAAATTATCATTGTCAGTTTTGAACCCTCATAAGACTTTTCCTGCCTTGATCTCAACAATCATTGTTGCGATTACATGAAATGCATCTTCTTCGCCAGGTTTGCATGCTTGTCCTTGAAATTCTTTCTCCAGCGGTCGAGGTCGAAATTGTCATTGTTGCTTGAGATGGTGGCGGCGTCGAAACCCATGGTGGGATTGAAGTGGAACGCGCCACGCACACAGACGATCTATCAAAATGTTAACAAGATGCTATCATATATTGAGTATACTACTCAAAACTCAGAATCCTGACATTAACATAGGTATACTACTCAGATGTCATCATAGCCCAGATCCAGTTCATAGTGTTGCGATTACATGAAATGCATCTTCTTCACCAGGTTTGCATGCTTGTCCTTGAAATTCTTTCTCCAGCGGTCAAGGTCGAAATTGTCATTGTTGCTTGAGATGGTGGCGGCGTCGAAACCCATGGCAGGATTGAAGTGGAACGCGCCACGCGCACAGACGATCTATCAAAATGGTAACAAGATGCTATCATATATTGAGTATACTACTCAAAACTCAGAATCCTGACATTAACATAGGTATACTACTCAGACCCAGATCCAGTTCATAGGACGATACCTTGTTTCCTTTAAAGGACTTTTTCCACGGTCATGTGACTTTTCAGAGCGGCAAAAATTGACTTTTTAGAGACATGTATAGCAGGACAAAGTAGTACACAAACAATCAATTACAAAGACTTTCATAACGCAAACCACATAAAGAAAAAATTAGGGAAGTGTACGGCTTCAGTGAGGGGGCCCTCCTCACCAAAGCCGTACACTCCAAAGAAAGTCTACAAAGTAAATTTAAGACCCTGCTGAACAATTAGATATAGTTATAATCAAAGCAAGGCACTTAGCTTTCAAAGTCGTATTGTGACAAAGTCCTGTAAGATTTATCAGCGAGAAATGTTTTTGAGTAGTATGTGGACTTACAGATGATAAAAATGTCGCCCAACATCAAATATGGCACTGAGCTTCTGAAATTTATGTTGCGTCAAAGTCTTGTGAGACTAGAAATATTTCCAAGTCAGATGTGACTTAGGTGTGAATAAGTAAAAATCACCGCTCATCGTGAACACAAATGGCATGCACCACACGCAAACCACAGGCAAGCCCCCATAATCAAGAGCGGGAGCCACTCACAAGTGGCATGCACCGCATGTAAGCCCTCAGGTTCAAGAGCGGGAGCCACTCACAAGTGGCATGCACCGCATGTAAGCCCCCAGATCACCCACTACCAACAAGTGAGACGCTAAGAAGAGAAGATACACTAGAGGGAGATAACATCAGCATGCGGTAAAAATGAATGAAAGACTTACCAGAGAGACATAAAAAAATACTAGAGAGAATGAGAGATTAGCAGGCAGTGAACAGAAAGAAACACGAACTTGAGAAAAAATCCTGACACCGAATCTAACCGCGGGAGAGACATGAAACAAGACACTGGAGAGAGAGAAAGGTTAGCGCACAGTGAACCGAGTGAAGGACGCACCAGAGAAAAGAGTAGAACTAAAGAGAGAAATTAGCGCGTAGTGAACGCAATGAAAGACTTACCATTGAGCAGCGCACAGTGAACCGAATGAAGGACGCACTATAGAAAAACACTAGAGCTAAAGAGCGAAATCAGCGGGTGGTGAACTAAGCGAAAGACTTACCATTGAGGGGGGGAGACGCTAAGTGGCTGTAGAGATAAACATTAGCAAACAGTACACAATGAAGAAAAAACTTACTGCGCATGAAAGTTGACATTATGGTAGATCCTTTGGATCCTTGCAGGCTGCAGCCCTGCAAGGACCCAAAGGGTACCATAGAATTAGCGTGTATCATAGATTAATCAAAAAAGAAAAGGTGTGTAGTGTGAAGATGGGTGGAAAGAGCAAAGTCAACAGCACGTTTGAACTTTGAACTTTGAACTTTGAACCAACGTGTCTATTTGGTGTTGTTTGTTGTTTGGATGTGTTTGTGTCACAAACTTGTGAACTTGCAAGTCCAGCACGTCTACTGTTTGTAGTCTCAATATTAATACTATACCATTGTCCTCAGCGCGTTACCATTGTTTCTGCCTTTCGCGTTTACCCAGCAGCAGCCGTCATACCAGCATCTGTGATCCCAGCACCCACGACTACGCCATGCCCCCTCGGACCAAACAAACCTGCAAGAAGTCGACTGGTGGTGTGGCGCCTCGTGTCACCCTTAACCTACCTGGTGCCGTTTCGACCATTTCAAGGGTAGAAGTGGGGACTGTGAGGATTGAGGAGGAGGAGAGAAGGGACCACAACAATGTGCGTAATTAACGTTATCTTTCTTCAACATTTCAACTAACTACATCTATCTACATCTACCTACAGTTCTGTCTTGTTTGTCGCGACGGAGCAGTGGACGACTACCACTTGTTCATGTGCGACTTGTGTCCACGCACTATGTGCTCCAACTGCTTGCAGATCACGCCACGTCACCAGGACGTTATTTCTGGAGTCGGTGTCACATTTGTCTGCATTTCCTGCCATGTCCTAGTGCAACATCATGGCTGCGGCTCCCAGAATCCTTACTTCGTGAGTCCCTAACCTTTGTTTTCGGTTTATTCTTGTTGTATTGATTCAATCATGTGTATATCAACTACAGGGATTTTACCGCGATGGGAAGCCCGTTTTCGACACATTCCTTCAGATCCATGGGGCACTTGAGTTGTCCCACCAAGCACAGGTTTCGTCCGAAACCGTGCTATTCATCCATCTTAACCTCATCGACAATGACACGACGGGCGGCCCTTTCAAACTCTCGCACGATTTTCTCCTGCCTTACTTTCCTGACGGCGGAATCGTTTTTCGTGAGGTCATCTTTGACGTCGGCTCTGATTCGAAGATCGTCAAGTTTCATTCTATGGTCAACAAACTCGTCCTCAACCTCTTGGCTTTCCCTGGCGGTTTGAAACGCATTATCTTTGGGGTCTCCGACCATACCGACAATGACTTCGGCGACCCCTTTGTAGGCTACAAGGGCAAGAAGAAAACTTATATTTCGACTCCAGTCAATACTGTAAGTTCGTTTGTTTAACTTCGCACATGTACTGACTGTCGGAAACAAAGTTTTTGGACATCGTGCTTGGTCCTTTCAAGGATCTCATCAACCTTGCTGTTGAATCGTACCTATGGTTGTTCTGTTGCGGCGCTATTGTCAACAACTCCGAGAGCTTCGAAAACTTGAAGACCTCAGTACTCCAGTAAGCTATTCTTGATCCGTCTTGTGTCTGACTTAATGTGGTTATACTAGACATCAACTTTCCGCTTCTGTAGCCTTCAATGCAGTACGTTTCCAGCCAAGCTTCGCCACACATCTTCTTCTCGCATTCATCGAGCGTGTCGTCATCGAGCGATTCTCTATCAGCCATGCATTCCCTCCTTATGCTGAGTCACTCTCTCAACTTGGGTCGGCACTCCGACATTTTTTTTGTTTGTGAAGAATTCCGACTCATTGAACGTCATCAAATTCACATGGACCCATGCTGTGTTTCGCCCTTGGGGGCAGTACCTCCCTGTCCAATGCCCAAAGTGTGGGTGGGTTGACTCATGGACTTCGGTGAACCATCACAAGGTTTATTATTTTGAATGTAAGAATCAGACTTGCACCCAGTCCTTCGAGTTTCATCAACCGGAGAATTTGACAAGAGTTCTTACACATGGTAAATCACCTCAGTCGCAATGGATCCAACTTGCCCTGTAGGCCTATATTTTGCTTGCCCTTCATGTCTTATATCTACATGTCTCTTGTCGCATGTCTACAGTACTGAATCTATTTTGATGTGCTCTCAAATCATGAAGTTTGAAACGTGAATCGATCGCGATCACATGACTTAAACGCGATCACATGATCCATGCAACATGTTTGTTGATTGACCGGCCAGCCGCACTTAAACACGATCACGTGATCCACGCGACATGTTTGTTGATCAGAATCTTTTGACTGAGATCACCGGCCAGCCGCACTCTCATACATCCTAGTACTGTTAATCCACAGCATTACTTTTTAAAAACAATACCTTCCAGTCATATATCTATGTCTTCAGATTGGACCAGTAGCTTCAGAGCTATCCTAGTCAGTTATCAATCCAAGTTCTTGGCTGCCAATTCAAAGTCAGAGCGGTCTCGTGTGATCAAGAAAATTCGAAAGGCCATAGTTGTAGCTCACAAGGAACAAGGCGAACAAGTGCCTTTGCCAAGTTCTTTGAAGAAGGTATTATTTTTACTGATGTTAGGATATTTGACAGGTCTATTAATACACTACTTGCAGGCAATCAAAAAATACTACGGACGCAAAAATGACGAAGAAGAATCTGATGAGGAAGGAGCTGCAAAGGCAAGGGAGATTAGTGCCCGTCCAAAGGAAGCATCTTTCTATAAGAAAATGCTGACCGACTGGGACGTGGCTCAGAGATTGTTTAAACAAGAAATGGATGAATTTGACAAGGCAGAGCAGGCGAGAAAAGGTGTGAAGGATCCCATCAAGTTTCGTACTCGTCATGCGCGAGAATGGTTCAACCAAATGTCATTGACACAGAAGAAAGAAGTTGATTATGCACGAGAGAAGTGGAACACAGAGGGGGCACCAGAAGAAAGCCAGGTTATGTGAGCTCAGTGAATTTTTTTTGTTAGGGTTTCAAGTCTGACATCAGCTGGCAGGTATCGTAAGAATAATCTCAAGAAAGTCCTTGAAGATTTTTCTGAACAACTCCGTTGAACTATGGGTTTGCCACATCGTGATGCTTGTCAGTCACAAGAAATGAGCAGATCAGACATTGAACATCACCTTGTGAGTATTAGGTCGTTTATATATCTTAAAACTACTAAACTATACTCCTCTAGACATGAATCTCAGCCTAGGAATGTCAAAAAAAGTTTCTCCGTCAGCTCAGACGGTATAAAAGAGTGGACTTCAACTGGGTTCGAGTTCTTTGCTGAGTGGGCGAAGGGCGAATTTTGTATAGTTACTATCACTTCATTTTATAAACATTAATTGACCATAAATCAATAGACCCAACAGCTGATCAAGACGACAAGGAAGAGGAGGAACATGGACTACCTGAACTCATTTTGGACGATGAAGGCTATGCCCAACTTCCTTCTCGTGATGGTATCAGACTTAAGGGTCAACAAGAGCTTGTAAGAATGATTTTTCATGCTGCATACAGTAGGTGTCTTCGTCATGGATTTACTATATGCTTGCTGATTGGGTTTGCTTCTGTAGAAGTTTTCACTGGCACTAGTAAGCCCGTGCCCTGGCGTACCATCACTCCTTGTCCGTCACAGTATTTGGCGGCTAGTTCTGTTCCAGATAATCTTCTCATCTGTGACCCCTCTCACATGAGATCGAAGGATATCAATGTCATCTGGAAGTATTGGGAGAGTCGGAGCGTGGCGAAAAAGAGGCTTGTCTCTTTTATCAAGGCAAGACCAATGGACATGAGACGTAGTAAAAGGGACAAAGCAAGTTCCAGGAAGGTGAAACCATATGACGAAGTTACCTCTGAAGAAGAACAGCATAGTCTGGCTGGACTGGGTGCTACTTTAGCTGTAGTATCGCCAGCTGAGGTTCCACTTGACCGCCGCTTTGAATTTTTAGATGGGCTCAGCACTGATAGCTCTTACCTGGAGCTCGTAGATGCAGTCAAGGATCTGGCTAAAATGACGGAAAATATTGTAAGTGCATTATTAATCTTGGGAATGTACTGATCATAACTCATTCACTAGTCAACACCAAACGAGGAGCTTGAGTTACCTCCATGGGTTGATTGGTGTTGCGGAGAGTCTTACCTTCCAGAGTATTTGCATGGGTCACAGGACATGGTGATGGCCAGCTTGGAGGTATTGACACAGGCCCCAATCAGGTCTTCGTCCTCAGGTGCCCTAGTGGTTTTGGGCCTGGGTTTGATTTTGAGAGACTGTAAATGAGTCATCGAGTATGAAGAAGACGAGGCCCCACCTGGTACCCCCATCTACTTGGCCAGTTCAATCATGGACCTCCAATGTATGATTAAGGTGGACAACGCAATCCGTCATACCTTATGCGCCATTGTAGGCCTCATTGAGTTGGCGATGAAGGCTACATCAGGTGACTTTGATGAGGGTGATCAGGAGGAGATGAAGGGAGTTGATGGTGAGAACGTGGACAAGGATGAGGACAAGGAAGAGGACAAGGACGAGGATGAGGATAAGGACAAGGATGAGGATGAGGAAGAGGATGAGGAAGAGGATGAGGACATGGAAGAGGACAAGGACCAGGACGAGGAAGATGAGCAGGAGGAGGTGACAGGAGATTTGGATGTGCAGATGCAGGAGGTGGAGAAGGACAACGAGCAGGAACAGGAGGCAGGCAAATCCAAAGGGAAGAAAAGGGTGAGAAACCAGACTTCCTCAGTGAAGACTAAGAAGGCCAGGATTGAAGATGAACCTATTCGTCAGTCAACCAGATCTAGGCAACCATCTAGGAAGAATATTCTTTAGTCAAATATTTGTGTATTGTCTTTGGAGCTGTTAAATATACAATACGCTGGTCATTATCCTCTTAGGTATCATACTATATCTGAAGCTGACCCGGCCAGCACATTAGCTATGTGGCCTAAGAGCAAGGCTGGCCATTCAGTGAAGAAAATTATTAGACCTGGCCGACATGTCTATGGCCCACATAGAGGGATGGCGGCCGGGATGTTATAAATCTAAAGGTGGCTCGGCCAGCATGGGTTCTACATGTGCTACAGGCCATGCTGGCCATTCAGTGTACTTTAGAATAAATTAACCTGGTCTATAGTGTTGTCTGTCATTTATCATACTTGAGCTTATTATTAGACCTGGCCGACATGTCTATGGCCCACATAGAGGGATGGCGGCCAGGATGTTATAAATCTAAAGGTGGTTCGGCCAGCATGGGTTTTACATAGGCTACAGACCAGACAGGCCATTCAGTGTACTTTAGAATAAGGTACTCTGGTGTATAGTGTTGTCTATCATGTATAATACTTGAGCTTACAAGAAAATCATTAAGGCTGGCCAACATGCCTTTGTGCCATGTAGAAGGTTGGCAGCCAAGGTGTGATATCTTCTCAAGCAGATATGGCCAGCATGGTGTTTACATAGGCTACAGGCAAGACTGGCCATACAAGGTACCATAGAATAGACTACCTTATTTAGTGTAGAAAATTCTTAGACCTGGCCGACATGTCTATGGCCCACGTAGAGGGATGGTGGCCGGGATATTATACATCTAAAGGTGCTCGGCCAGCATCGTGTTTACATAGGCTACAGACAAGGCTGGCCATACCATAGAATAGACAACCTTCAGCTTATAAGAAAATCATTAAGGCTGGCCGACTTGCCCTTGGGCCATGTAGAAGGATGGTGGCCACAGTGTAATATCTTCTCAAGCTGGCCAGCCCTAATAATTTTCTTGTACACTAAAACATTTATACAACACACCTGGCCAACATCCATCTATATGGCTCATGGGCAAACTGGCCAGGTAAGTTTATTCTATAGTACACGAAATGGCCTGTCTGGTCTGTAGCCTATGTAAAACCCATGCTGGCCGTGCCACCTTTAGATTTATAACAGCCCGGCCGCCATCCCTCTACGTGGGCCATAGACATGTCGGCCAGGTCTAATAATTATCTACATTGAATGGCCAGCCATGCTCTTAGGCCACATAGCCAACGTGCTGGCCGGGTCAGCTTATAACATCCTGCCCACCATCCCTCTATGTGGGCAATAGGCATGTTGGCCAGGCCCAATAATTTTTTATACACCACACAGCGGCCGTCATTGCTCCACATGGCCCCACAGACAAGCTGGCCAGATTTGTTAATTCTAGCATATATTGGTAGTCTACATATATGACTAGTCCTTAAGTCCTGGCCATTAGCCTTCTATGTCACCTCAGGACATACAGGCCGAGCATTATCTATAGTCATAGGTAGATATGTAGATTAGCAAATCCACATATTACATATGTAAGTAGGATATTGACTGAATGGCCACCCTAATATCACCCTCTGTAAATGTTAGGCTGGCCCGAACATTATCCAATAAGCTCATCCTGTACTAATATACTATACAATCTGGCCAGCACAGGTTCTGCATATCGTATAGTGATTGCAATATGCTTGTGAATGCTATTACTAGAATTCCTAGACAGACTGGCCAGCACTGATCCTATGTCTACCGGCCGGTGACTGGCTGGCATGGATTCTACAGCCTTTTTGCATGTCCGGAGCCAGGGTTCTACGTTGGAAATGACTGAAGGGTCTGGGATGGGAGGATGACAGGACGACAGGAGGAGGACAGCAGGACGGGAGGAGGACAGCAGGACGGGAGGAGGACAGCAGGACGGGAGGAGGACAGCAGGACGGGAGGAGGACAGCAGGACGGGAGGAGGACAGCAGGACGGGAGGAGGACAGCAGGACGGGAGGAGGACAGCAGGACGGGAGGAGGACAGCAGGACGGGAGGACGGGAGGAGGACAACAGGACGGGAGGAAGGGGCACAGAACACCAACACAACAGCAGATGAGAAAATACATATATTCAATTGTACTTTTACTTTTGTCAAAATACTGCTCAAAGTATGTAACTTATTTTGAAATTTTGATCACAACTCAGTGAATAAAATATAATTTATTTAAAACCTGCAATAATTATTAAGTCACCCAAAGTAGGATGAAGCCGAAGGCCAGGAAGCCAACAAAGAGCGCGAAGCGCTCTTTTTGCTTCCTGTGCCGAAGGCACAACGGGTGCGTGCTAGTCTCTAGTATCTACCAAATCTCTACAGTACGCGAGGTAAGCGTATCTACTCAAAAACCACATGGCGCTACGCGCCCCAAGTGCAAACCACGCGAGCGGCCGGTACCGTTCCCTCACCATCCTCCCTTACTTTATAGATTTGATATTCTACTCCTGTGCTCGCACTATGACCATGATGTGCTGACTTCAACACAAACACCAATCTCGCGGCCCGCGTGCGAGTTCTTCTTGATCACATGTACCATGTATGCTCCGAGGATGGTGCTCCGACGGCGAGCCTGAGGATGGCACAGATACTTCCCCCATCATTCCCACTGCTAGTACTGTCTCGCCTGTCAAACGTTCTGACTTCAAGCCAAGATGCACATGCAGAAGGCTGGCCCAAGCACATCTTAGGAAGAGGTCGACAATAACCTGAGTGGCCTTTATCCATGCACGACAGAACAGGAGGATAATCTTTCATTCTGTTGGAAAATTCGTTTGTTTTGGCTGTTCATTCTTCAGCAGCTGACTTTATTCGACTTAGCAACACTAGACAATGCTTCCTGTGCTGTCCCGCATTGCCCGTGACATTCTCATGATCCCGCTGTTAGTGTCCCTGTTGAGCATTTGTTCTCAAGCAGCAAACACACTCTCCGATAGCCGCTCGTCTCTAAGCGTTGAGTCCGCTTCAATCCCTCTTATCGCAAAGGAGTGGTTGGCTAGTGAAGGCACAACCACATAGGCAAAAATTTCAAGGAATGTTAAGCACATAAAAGCCAGCCGTCTCCCAAATATCTCGTTCAGAATTATCTGATCTTAGCATCCCACTAGTCACAAACAATGCGTTTCTTCTCTGCAATTATCCTCGTTGCCGTCGCTGCTTTACCGTCATCGATCTCTGCCATGCCCTTCGACGAACAATCTTGTCCCTGGGGCAAATGCATGACTGACTCAGATTGCATCTGCTCTTGGCCTCATTGCGTGAGTATCGGTAGTTGTCCTGAATTTAATCATATTTATGACTCGCCTGCATAACAGTACCATGGTAAATGCCAAAAGTAAGGATATGGTATCCTCACGCGCCAACCACGACGTCTGAATCAGACGCAAGTCGTCCTCGTGATTCATCGATGCGAAGGGCTTTACTCTTCACATTCGAGACACGAATACATTTTTCTACTAGCCCCACTCTTTTTTTCTTTGTACTTGGAGTTCCATTTCCCTCATCATTAGAACACACGAGCCACTCGTTACTGACTTGCTATAGTAAGCAGTGCTGTAGTGACAGTATGTACGTGATCGTATTCCTCCTAACGTTTTAAATATTGTAAAAGTCCGTTGTCTCATCGAAATCTCATTCTCGAACATGTGTCTTATTTTCGTCTTGATCTATTGTTGCTCTCGAACGTGCATTTTGCACCAAGTTCTGATCGCGCAGTCGCAACTAGCCTTACAGAAGCGAGTTGTGTTTCTGCTTTCATATCGGTGCAGTATAGCCGTAAGCACTGACTCGGATGTGTTACTATTGCAGTGAAGAAGGTTGTTAGAACATTTTGGAATACGCTCTTCCAGTTGTTCTGCGGAAGTTCTTCCCCGTCGACAACTTTACTAGGATGCTAGATGTACCAATCACGCTTTGGGTCGTCTTTGCTTGATTTTAGGCAGTGAACCAGGTGTGCTATATGACCAATGCACGGAAGTCATCATAAGTAATTGGTAGAAACAATAACCATAAGGTAAGCCAGAAAGATGCAAGATCAAGGGGATTTACCTCGTCGGATGTATGATTCACCACCGGATCCATCCTGCGAAAAAGCATTGGTTGACACCGGAAAATAGTTTAAAGTTGGGATACTAATAAACACGCGGCGAGCTACATAAAGAATCTATTTATCTCCAACCATGAGGTTAAGCCGTATTGGGTTCTTAGCTGACTTGAGGAGGCGTTGGAATTTTGATGTGACCGATACTCATGTATCAGGCAGCCTAAAGTGACAATAAAAGGAAAGGAATAAATGTATTCGGCAAAGTAGAGTGCTGCACGAATCATCTTCGTGGAATCATCAAATGTATTAGTGTCTCTGATTGAAGTATGCTGCATGGAATTGGTTGGACGATAAGAACCCCCAAGGATCTGCAAATAATGTAGTGACTTGACGGATTGATGAGCCGTGTACTGCAAACATTCACAGCCCCTGGAAAGCGCTGTCGATGACAGCCAGTTGCTGTGCTCCATACAACTTCCCAGTCCCTGGCGCAGATACCGCATCTTCCTTCCTCCCCCTGTAGGCCGCACCACCATCTACGCCCAATCCATTCAATACCTCCCGAATGCGCTCCTGTACATGTCCCCAAGCGCCCTGATTTCTAGGCTCCTCCTGCACCCATAGCACCTCCAATTGCTTATTAGCATTGGCATAAGGCGCAAGCACTTCACTGAGCGCGGTAAACGGGAATGGCGCAAGCTCTTCGACGCGGATGAGGGCGACACGCGATTGGAGGTTGCGTGTTGCGCGCTCTTTTGCAAGATCGTAGTAGAGCTTGCCACTGAGCAACACGACGCGCTGGACAGCTTTGGGATCAGCGAGAGTTGCAAGGTCCTGGAGAACGGGCTGGAACGCTGTTCCGGGACCCATGTCAGTCAGCTTCGACGAAGCAGCCTGCGTGTTTAGCGTTAGCCAATGTAGGAAGGGCATTGGGACAACACATACAGCAAGTCGAAGTAATCCCTTAGGAGCAGCGACGATGAGTGGCTTCCTGTAGTTCCGCTTAATTTGGCGGCGTAAAAGATGGAAGTACTGTGCAGGCGTGGTCGGGAACACTACATGCATGTTTACATTCGGTTTCTCTTGGGCAACGTAGGGGTCGTTGGTGAGCTAAAATATGTTAATAGACGTTCATTAAATGCCGAGAAATAGATTTACCTGTAACATCCGCTCTATACGACAACTGGAATGCTCAGGACCAGCACCATCTAGACCATGAGGGAGGAGCAGGACGATGCCGCTCTGCTTCAGCCATTTAGCTGAATGGGGACAATAAGCGATCAATGGAAAACACGCAGGCACGCAGACATACTCTCTGAACTCGCAATGAAGGTATCAATGATGATTTGTGCGCCGTTGAAGAAGTCACCAAACTGAACCATAAATAAAATCATTTAGCTTGGAGTTTAGCAGTCTCAAGGAAGTAATGACGCACTTGTGCCTCCCAAATGGGCAATAGATCAGGTCGTTCCCAAGATGCTCCGTATTCAAACTACAATACTGTTAGGCTGAATCAAGAAAGGAAAAAGCGTCTTACGCCAAGTACGGCCATCTCGCTGAGAGAACCTTTGAAATACATATATATATAAGGCAACACCCCGAACAAAAAATAGATACTCACTGTTTGCCAATTCCAGCTTGCCCTTCGCCTCCGTAAGCGCGTGGTTCAGCGGAACAATCACGCCCTCTGTCTTCTGGTCGACCAACATCGCATGGCTACAGCTGTGTTAGTCTCCCTTATATACTAACGTAGCATTGACGGTACCGATGACTGAACGTCCCCCTTCCTACATCCTGTCCCGCGATGCGCACATCGCAACCCTCAAGCATCAGCGAGCCAAACGCCATTGCCTCCGCACTCGCCCAGTCGATTCCTTCGCCGCTCTCAATGCTCTTGAGACGGTTTTTTACATGCCTGTTTAACCGCGGATGGATTTCCTGCGTCGGGCGTGGCCCGTGTCACTTTGGTTCATACAAGAAATGCATATCACTTACAAAATCCTCAGGGACATTTACGCTGGCTTTGCCAACGTCCTTGAGAACAGCACTGCTCACGCCTGTCTCTTCCTCACGTGCTGCATGATATGCCGGCCAAACCATGCCTTTCCACGCTCCCTCAAAGCTCACGGGAGGGGGAACATACGACGCTACATCAGTCAGCGCGGTATTCAGCGAAGCTTTGTAACTGTCTCGGACAGCTCGTGCTGCTTCAACCGAGATAACACCGTCCGACTAGAATATACATCCGTCAGCACTCGCATTGAAAAACATAAAACAGAACCAGGCATACGATGAGCTTATCTTCATACAACTTCGGGACAGAACTCCTTGAACGAATTTTTTCGTACATGAGCGGCTGCGTGAATGCTGGTTCGTCAAGTTCATTGTGTCCCCAGCGGCGATAAACAATGAGATCGATCACAATATCCTTGCGGAATTGGTTGCGATATTTGAAGGCGATGTCGACAGCACGAATTACATCTGTGTATACTCAGATGATGGAAGTTATAAGTAATGATTAAGGTAAAGACGAACCTTCGGGGGAGTCTCCGTTGACATGCAGAACTGGACAGTTGATCATCTTGGCAATGTCGCTACAGTAAAAGGAAGAACGGGCGAAGGAGGCAGGAGTAGTATATCCGACGCTGCAATGTATGTCAGTATCAATTCATGGTAGCTTGTATCAATTGACTTGTTACTGTGAGGCAGAAATTAGGACAGTAATTAAGGAGAGTTGACAAACATACTTGACAACAATGTGGACACTTCCGCCACTTGTGAAGTGTGGAAGACCACCTGTAAATATCACGTTGAACTTTTAGAACTTATGAGATCTGTATTGAGGCCACAAACTTAAACCAAGGGTTTCCATTATTACCCCTTGTCCTGTGAAGCTGGCATCGCCGTGCAGCTGGACGCACATAACCTAGCGGTCCCTGTAAGCACTTCGATCCACAAATGACACGTCGTAACAATACCTTATCGCCAAGCATGCAATATTGGTTATTATCGTTAGATAAGGTTTTAAGCAACCTATATTGCTTCGCTCTGGCTTTTCCAAGTGCAACAGGGTTCACGGCCTCCAGATGGGACGGATTTGGCAGCAACGAGACTTTTATGCCATCAGCTTCGCCGTACTGCAATGTTGGGGATGCAACTTGAGTGATAGTCAGAACTTTCGCAGATATGACAGGTAAGATGCGCACCAAGATGACTGAGGACGTCCCCGGAAACGCCCAAAGATTCATCCACTTCACAACCGCCTTTTATTTTGTGGAAGAGGGAAGTAGGGTTGTATTCCAAGAGCCCTGTAAGAAGATTAAGACGTCCCCTGTGAGGCATAGCAAGGATGAGCTGAGTTATGCCAGCTATGTGTGCGTCAGAAATGATCCCCGTGATTAAAATGAAACTGACCTTTTGATGCGGCCTCGAATAGGGCATCCAATGCGGGCAGCATGGACTCCCCGCCCTCAAGTCCATATCTCTTCAAATTCGGAAACTTGGCCTGTAAGAAATTGTCCAACACCTCTGACTTGGCGAGCAGTGTGTGTATGTTCTTTTGTCTATCCGCGTTGATGACAGTCATGGGCTCTAAAGCGCTCTGTGACTCTAACAGCTTCGCAAACCACAGCCTCTCCGTCTTGCTCGGGAGGTCCATATATTCATACGCGATGCGGCCGACGTATACGGAGTTCAGGAAGGAGGTGATATTTTCAAGAGTCCATTCCTGCTTGCCCTCACCGGTCCAGATGATACCGTCTACATCAAATGTGCGATGAGGGTCATCGAGGCCATAACGGACGGGGTCGAGTGCGGCAATGCGCTCACGACGGAGGAGATCGAGAGGGTCGATAGAGGCAGCTCTATGACCATGGGTGCGCAGAGAGTCAGCATACCTCAGCAGGGGAGCATTGATTGCACGGTTAGTAAGCTGGTCCGAGGTATCTGACAAGGGATTCGCATGAGTGCTAGCTACTCAGACGGTACACTCACAGTCCGAAATGGTAAAGTCGCGTGCTTTTCTGAATCCGAACGACTCGTCATGATACTTCCTGCGCACTATGAGCACGCGGCCGCTACGTTGTGTAACGCGGGCAAGAGTGTTCCGAGTCGGAAGATGGGCCCGACCCGCATAGATGGAGTTCATCGACATGGAGTGGTTTACTGATCAATAGCGTGTAAGACCTTATCAGGTCTTAGCAAGACGATGGCAGTGAAAATGCGGGGAAGAGACTCGTGACACGGAGCTGGCAATTTTCGGATCGGAACATGACGATGAATATTAGCATGATCACTTTTTTTTATAAGTCTTCCGAACTGGTCCGATTTACTTTGCTCCAGCGCACGCGGTGTTTTTTGGGCAGCTTGTTCATGAGACTATATAGACTCGTCTGATGCAACGAGCGCCATGAATAAACCAAATTGAATGTCAAGGGTAGAGCATTAAAGGCGGGCGTTACTAGTAGTCTGGAAATAATCACGTGAGTGAACAAAGTCAAGTGCTGGCGTGTTCTCAGCTCGCTTACAGTACAATTTTCTCACCTGCCTGGACCAACCTCACACTCTCACTGACTCTAGTTTTTATTCTGCTCTCGACTCGGTCCAGTCACGTAACTTCTTTGCATCCTTGACTTAGATCAGTGCCTCTCAGATGCGAGTTGGATAAATCTAGACCAAGATGGCACCCTCCCAGGACCCAAATAAAACACCAAAATTTGAGTTTAAGAAATTAATTCATCCGAGTCTCACCAAAATTTCATCTTCACCAAAATCAAATAGTAAGGTTTGGTGAAGACGATATAGCAAGCCTACTTGGATGGTTCAAGATCATCGGAATTTTTTAATGACTACCTACGTAGACCAATCGCAATTAATATTTCAATATTGATGATAACCACTCGCGCTTTGACATTTTTCCTCTTATACATATTCCACATGTCAAATTTCAAAGGGCCAAATCGTCGGCATATTGGCTTACAACCATTGCTTCAGTCCGACTGTCATCGTCCGTCTATCTCCTGAATTTCCAAGATAAAGCATAGGCCGTTCAGGAAATGGGGAAAAATTTCCAACGATGATAAGCCATACCCTCATCTCGCGCCCTGAACGCCTTCAGCCAACGGTAACCCAGCTGGCTCAATAATGATACTGATTAGCGCAAAGTCGATAACGAAGACACTTAGGATAGATTCACAAAATCCATGCGATCGATACTAAGACTGAGGTGGTATAGACACATCGCAAACGCACTATTTGCGTGCATTTATACCATCCCTATCCTCAATCTCCTTCTATTGCCCAGAGTCGAGAGAAAACACATATCAGCTCCCACATCAAGAAGGGGTTCAAATGGAAACATCGGAAAATGAAAAACACTGTAGACAGGACTTCTCCCGTAATGGACAGAGATCAAGATGTCTGAGCGCTACCTCTATGCGATCTTACCCAAGAGTCTACCTTGTACTTGTCCCCAATGAGTCCATGCTCGGCCTTCAAATGTCGGCGTAGATCATACGCGCGAGTTAGGATGTGATCACAGTGTGCTGAAGAACCAGAAAGCGAGGTTTCTGGAGGCGATAGAAGTAGGTCTTCAACGTTGGGGTATGGACATCGTATGGTTTTTGATGTTGGCATGCGACTGCGGAGGGAGTAAGCATGTCCGGTAATGCGGTCGATGCTTAAGTGCGGTGCTGAGCTTGCAGCTTCGTTGTCAGGACAGTCGGTATCAGTATCAGTGGTTGTAGCGCCGTCTGACTCAGACGGATCTGCGATGGATTGGTCGCTCCTTGTGCTATGAATCCTATCCAGGTGCCTTTCGAGGAGGTGTTTGTAGCCAAAGGCACTGGAGCAATGTTGATGTGGGCAGATGTGATTTCTGTGGCCGAGATGAATCACGTTGTTGTGCGTCGTGAGGGCTTTCATCTATGAATGACGTTAGAATGCATTGAAAAACATCCGTTGATGAACATACAGATTTAAATTCTTTCCCACATTTGTCGCATTTCCAGTCTCTGCCCACTTCCCCACCGCGTCTACGTTTGCGAGGCAGGTCTGTTGCTTCTGATGGTTCTACGTCTGCTAGAATGGCTTCTAACTCTTGTTGTTCGTGTAATTTTTGATGAGTACGCAGATTATGTTGAGAAGCGAAAGTTCGTCCGTTGCATGAGGGATGCATGCATGTTGGAGGATGGGCCTCCCGGATATGAGCCTGGAGGGTCGTCCATGTCGGGTAATATGTAGGGTCATTATTAGATGAAGGTAAGCAGTTTGGGTGTGCACACGTGTAGCGTTTATCTAAATGAATGATAAATCATCGTGCACACGGACGGGGAGGTGTACGAACCGTCATGAGTCTTGACATGACCTCTAAGCTTTTGGTTCGTATCGAACGATTTGGTGCACCCCGGGTGTGTGCACATGTAAGATTTCGTACCTGGGGGTGCGTGTACTTGGCAGGTATGAGATCGCAGCTGATGGTGTTTGGAAAACACCTCGTTGCAGTCCTCTACCACGCACTGAGAAGACAAAATTAGTGCGGATAGCTTGGACAGTAGAGATAGGACACACATGATACGATTTAGCCCCCCTGTGCGTATTTTCATGCACCTGGAGGTGCTGAAGGGTCCAAAACCGTTTCTGGCAGGTTGCTGATTCCGTACATACGTAAGGGCGTTCTGAGTCGGGAAGATGGCTTTTTGCATGTGCTTGAAGATGGGATTCGCGTAAATAAGACTTTTGACATGTCGTGCAGACGTAGGGACGCTGTTTGAGCTGATTAGCACGCAGCGGACGTAAAACGACACATGGAACTATATCACCTCCCCTGTATGGGATCTTATGTGCTCTGCTAGCCTACAAGCTTTTGAGTAGGACTTCGTGCATCCAGAATACGTGCAAGGATGGCGGGCTTTCTTTGAGGAAGGCTCTGGGATATCGTGGACCGCGAGATACTCAGTTGAAGTCAATGACTCGGGTTGTGGACTTGCAGAAAGGTGTAAAATATATCTAGTGGCTTTGCGTTTTCCAAGGATTGTCGTCGATGATGACGAGAGTGACATTCTGATTATGAGCCCTATGATAGGCCCACCTACTTCTAAATTATGGAAGTGGAGTAGAACCAAGCTTGATTTACCTAGCTTACATTTTTACCAATCGGGGTTTGTGCGTGGACAACTTGTTTCCGCCCGCTCATTGCTCATGCATAGCTTGTCGGCGCCAACACGAAGAGAGGCCATTATACTCATCTTCGTATTCGTTTCATTGTTATTGTTCTCAAAAACAGGATATGATACGAATAGAATCAGATTCTGGAATGTCGATAGGTCAAGCACATCGCCTGCACATCCTTCGGCGCTTGGGGAGTCTTGGAGGACGCGTATAACATGGTCAAGCGGACATGTACCAAACACCCGCGTGGTATCTCATGTTCCTGGTACGTTCTTGCTTCAAGTCGTTTGAGCCGTCCCAGGCTGACGAGCATCCTATAGGATGGACCATTTTTGATAACCTTTTTGTCTTGAACGGCACTGTTTTTGTCGTAACGGATTTCCCATCAAGTATTCCTGACCGTCTTACAATCACTTCCACCGCTGTAGATATATTCAATGGCGAAGACGCTGTAAATAGTCGAATACCAGGGGACCGCGAGATGCAAGTTATCTCAACTGCTCAAGCTCAAAAAATATTCGGTTCAAGCGCCGAGGCGATTGATGGGGTAACGGTGAGTAACAGGGACCATGATAACTTGCGCTGGCAGCTCAACCTTGGATAATGCGACAGTGGCTCGTAAACGATCCTCCTCAATTGTGAGTAACAGGGGCTAGCAACTAACTAAAGCTTATCTCAAATGCCAGTATCACCCACTATTATCACTGGTCGGCTGAACTCTTTTTTGGGTTCTGGCGCACGTACTCCTCATTGGATACTAGCATAGACGAGATGGGGAAATCTACGCTTCCCTCTCTCCGTCGTATATTCTTTGCCCATGCTGATGCAGACCATTGGAGGGACTATGCTCTGATGAACCAATGGGTCTTGCGCAGCGCCTTCCCCTCTTTGACGACAGAATACTCGTATGACTGGGAAGATCGTGCAGCTATGGGTCGCCCAATGATGTTGGACCGCGTAATCTACACTGACCGAGCCGCTGCTATGCATGGTCATCATTTCTTGAGCACCGGGCGAACAGCATCAGAGCCATCCGCTTTGCCTGGGAGTGCGCATTGGTGGAGTACGATTCGCGCGAACGTTATCCGCGTTTGCGGCCTGGATCCGAATGTAGTAGGTGATATGGCGCAGACACCCGTCATCACGTACATATCGCGTCAAGAGTGGGGGCGTCGTATGCTCAAACAGGAGGATCATGAGCGTCTTGTGGAGGAGCTCTATAAGCTTCGAGACCTGTATGGGTATGAAGTGAACGTCGTGAGCATGGACAAGCTTTCTCGAGCAGAGCAGTTCGAGCTTGCGGCACGAACCACGGTTTGTGGTAGTTTTTATATTTTAGTGTGGTATAATCGACGATGGTGTTTTATAGATCATGATGGGTGTCCATGGTAACGGACTCACGTCGCTAGTTTGGATGAGGCCATCGCCTCGAGCTACGGTAATGGAATTTTTCTTCCCAGGATGTTTTGCACAAGATTATGAATACACCACCCGGCCTCTTGGCATGGTACATTACGGGTTATGGGGCGACGAGTGAGTGCTTTTTTTTGTCCCAGCAGTATCGTCTGAGATAAGTGCGCAGGTACTTTACGAGTCCTGATACCCCGGAGCAAGCATATCCTCCAGGGTTCCAGGGAACCGAGCATTCCTATATATGGAGCTGTTGTGGCAAGATTGTGTCGTGAGAGGCTTTTGCTCCAGTGAAATTTGCCTGCGCTGGTCTTTGAGATAGAAAATAGATCAAATCTGATCTGCTCGGGACTTGGATTATGCTAGGCTACTTGACTATAACTTACTTATGCGGCTGAGAGTTATGTAAGGAGTACTAGTACTTTGGATTAAAATATTAGAAAGAGTCGTCCTCATCTATGCTTCGCATATCTGCGTGTGTGATAAATTTTGTACAAAAGTAGTAGGCGGCGCACAC